AATACTCGATCGGGTATCAGTTCTAAAGATGCACAAAATTAACAGGAATTAGTTTTTTTTTACACAAATTTATTTTTAGTGTTTGTTTATTAATTAACTAATTTATTGTTTATTTTTTTTAATTTTGTCAATGTCAGGACAAACATGTATTTTGCTGATAAAGGCTTAGAACCAGTCTTGAAAGTAATTTTTCACAGTGGCTAGATATGTCGCTAGTAGCTAAACAAATTTGCAGGCAGCAAATATTCTGGCAAATAAACAGTAACATTATAATAGTATAACACATAAATAGTATTATTACATTTTGCATTGCATATCTAAGTTTTTTTTTTATTTTTATAATTTAAAAAAAGAATCTGGAGTTTCTAATTAGTAATAATTTCCGTTCAAGTTCACGACATTTAATATTTATATAATTAACTTATAGAATAGATATTTATATATATTAATAAAGGTAAATTTACTTTAATACTTTTAAAATTTATTATTTTATTTATATTTTGTCAATGGCAGGAAGCACAAGCGTTGGGTTAATAAAGTTTCACTGTAGTTAGCAAAACAGCCTTTATCAAATTTAGTTATGTGCTAAAATATTCCTATGTAGCAAATATTTCACCAAATACAATTGTAAGAATTTTTTTCTTTACATTTTGCATTATATTTCTGAATTTTACAACAGTTTTCACTTTTTTCATAATTTTCAAAAAAATATTTAGGAGATTCCAATTTTTAGTAGTTTCTATTTAATTTCATGACATTTAATATCAATTACAAATTAATTTTAAAAACTTATGGTATAGATATTTACGTACTAAAAAAGATAAATTTACTTCAATACTTTATTTTTTTAATATTATTTTTTTAGTAGTAGGACATACAAGCGCTTCACTGATAACGTTCCTTTTTTGAGCCAGACTTGAATTTATTTTTCCACTGTGGTTAGAAAAACAGCATAAAGTATATTTATTTATATATTAAAATACTTGCTTGCAGCAAATATTTTGGCAAGTACAATTGCAGGATTTTTTTTATTTTATATTTTGCACTGTATTTAAGATTTTGCGTTTTGCATTACATTTAAGTTCTACGGCAGTTTTCACTATTTTTATAATATTAATTAAATATTTAGAAGATTCTGATTTTCTGAAATTTCACAGCATTTGATATTCATATATAAACAATTTTGAACCTATGGCATAGATATTTATGAATTAAATAAGATAAATTTCCTTTAATGCTTTTTAAATTTGTTATTTTTTCTTCATTATTATCAAGAGCAGAGAAAACAAAAATTTGTTGATAAAATTTATTTTTATGAACCTGGCTTGAAAGCATTTTTCTACAGTGATTAGTGAAACAACAAAGTAAATTTTGTTATTGATTGAAATATTCGTATACAGCAAATATTTTGGCAAATACAATTGTAAGATTTTTTTTGCATTGCATTTCTAAGTTTTACAGTTGTTTATTTGTATAATTCTAATTTTTTTAATTTCCATTTAATTTTAAATATTTAATATTAATGTACAAAATATTTTTAAAAACTTATGGCACAGATATTTACGCACTAAAAAATATAAACTAACTTCAGTACTTTTCAAATAAATATTTTTTTTTACTAGTGGCTGGAGAAAAAAGCGTTACACTGATAAAGTTTTTATTTTTAGCCAGATTTGAAGAAATTTTTTCACAGTGGTTAGAAAAGCACCAGAAAGTAAATTTAGTTAATTATTAAAATATTCGCATGCAGAAAATATATTGGCAAGTACAATTGTAAGATTTTTTTTCACATTTTACATTGTA